AAAGCTGAGAGAGATTAATTCACTGTCTCTATTGACAACTTGATAAATATTAGATAGGTGTTAAATACTTAGAAGACAAGCTATAAGTATTGTTCGTCATATTTGGGGTGACCGACGTCTCCGAAAGTATTGTCCCAAGTAGTCACCTCCTAGATAACTATGTTATTAAGAGCAGAAAAAGTATAGATATGATTCTGTACATGATGGCATAGAATTGTTGACAAGAACTTGGGTTGTATGACAATAATTCACTTACAAAACGCGAACGTATTGTTGTTTTCTGAATCGATTTGTCAGCTTGTTTCGTCGCCCATTCTGCACTCCTACAAGGATTGTCGTCGGCAGCACGTCTACAAATACATGATCACTTCATCTATAGATAAGACATCAATATCTTCAGTTTCTTCATAAGACAAATCCTATTTAATAATGTCTTTGTTGCTAAGGAATAAGTTAACAGGAACCTATTCAAGATGTATCGCGATTCAACATCTTCATCCAATCAAAACATGATTCCAAATTTGTGTGGTGTTGTTGTAATGCATTGTATAAATGTAGTGTTCATGGAAAGCAGTTTAGTTGATTACCAAGATTTAACTTTTGCAACCTAAGACATTCAAATATTTCTTATCTAGAATTCCATGAAGTGTATCTATTTAATTCCTCCCATACAATATTCCAGTGTCATTATGAAAATATGGAAGAACTTCTACTTCTATCTAATATTAATTGTAATTTGATAAAAATACAAAGAATATTGAAAAATGATGTTACAGGATACTTAAATTGGATACAGTTATACATGAATGAGTAAAATTCGCGTGCCTAAACTTTTTTGTACGTTAATTGGGTTAAACTACAATGGAATGTGTAAAACCGGAACAACAGATACAAATACACCAAAACGAGATTGCACATGTAAACTTTACCCTTTGTTGTTGCAGGTACGTGTGACGATTCCCATGGCAACGACGGTGAGTTACTCTATGTTTTCAGTAATTACATTTTGCTGATGATCTAACAAAACTGTTTGCGATTAGTTTTATAACAGTTTCTAACTCTAGTTTAGAAGTATTATTAACCTATAACGATTGCATCGTTTAAACTGAATTTGATATTTTTAATAATGTGTATTATTTACATCGGTAGCAACAATTCCTTTGAGTTTTATTTGTTCAATTTCCTTTTTATCCCCCAGGCACTATAAGTTTAAGTGGCTGGGGATCACGCGATGGCCAATTAAGATCAATTAGACAGCTCTTTCGCGGATCTCTGCAATTGTTCCAGTTTCCTCTAGCAGCAAAGGTCGCTTTATGCGATATTCAGTGGTGATACCAACCTTAAAATCCACTTTCGCCACTCCACTTTCCGTCAATTGCTATTCTTTCGGGTTAAGTGGTAGTTAATTATCTTCAAGGTAATTTACTTGTTGAAGAGCAATTACAGAAAGTGGTTTTCTTTGATTACTTTATTATTATAATTGGTAAGAGTATTACTCTAAAAATAATAAGGTTATGTTTGGAACTAACGTTTTATTGAAATTTTAATATAAAATGTCCGTTTGTATGCATTTTAAATGAAATTTTAATTGCAACCTATATTATTGTTGATATGGACTATTTTTAATGCAAAACAAAACGGACGGGCCATTTATTGTTCCACACTGAAAAATAAATTTACAAATAACATGCATACATGTCAACGAAATGCTAAAACTAAATATTACCCATATATAGAAAAGGTTTCAAAAGCTTTAAAACAGGTGGCATAAAACGCGTTTTATCGTTGCAGTTCAGGTAGGCAGGTGACGAAGCAGCTTACACACCTGTCATTTTGCAATTTCTCTTTCTGAGATATTCTTTAATAATAGCAATTTTTTTATTTATCAAAGCATTAAACAAGATAATAGTTTCAATAGAATTGAAATCGATTACTTGCATTACTGCGCTTAACTTTTAAAGTGACACTTTCTATCGGTTGCATTATGGTATCAAACCGTACCAAATTTGTGATGACTTTCACATTATTTACCGCTTACTTGATGACCAAATGGAATAATTCTAAAAGTGGTTTATTTTAATCGATGTTTTGATAAAGTACATTTCTGGTGTTGACGTCTAGTCCCCTTATTCGGATGCACCCCTTTCAAGGAAGTAAGTCTAAAAATATCGCGTCAGCTGCTAATGATGTTTTACAGCCCCATTCAGCCAATCCAAATAAGTTCATCTTTAATAGAAACATCTAAACTTACAGATGTTACTTGAGAATGTCCACTCGTTTTATTTCTTTTTTCAATACAAAGAATCTCGTAGCAGGTGTGACTGACTAAGCTTTAATTTATGCGTGTAGTACTTCCTTCTATTCCCTGATATCGAGTTGCATAACAATAAGTAAATAGGATAAACTTTGCCTGCAAATAAGCTGGTGATATTGATCGTGTCGTGTTTAGCGCTGTTTTGTGTTAATTATTATAATTGGATACCAAATGATCATTTTGTTTGAAAGTCACCTGCGCCCGTTTCGTAATCTGGGTTTTAAATTATACTGATTACGTCAACAAACTTTTACTTTAAACTTCATTGGATTAAAATTTATTAACATCATATGTTTTATAACAACGACAAATCACTTTGATTTAAAATATAACGAAAACACAAAACTCTCAATTTGAGATTGTTACGTTGAAGGTACATCTGGAGAGGAGAGGTCAATCTCCTCTCGAGGAAACTTGACTACCTACCTGTATAATATTGGCGCCGAAAGTGGATTTTTCGATATAGTGCAGCGACGCGCGCCACAAAACGGAAAAAAGACATTCTTGCGGCATTTGACTTCGATCTTCCGGTTGGTAACCACACGTCCCTTCCATATTGCGGGGGCGGAAAATCCGTGACGCCTTCTCTGCTCTTCTCCGGAAGGCAGTTGAGACATCGAACGGCAGCGCCATCGTCATCTTCAGGTGAGAGGTGGCTAAAAATAGAAACGTACGAGTATCTAGCTTCAATCTATCAATATATTCGATATCACCATTTTTAGAACTTCATTTAACTTCAAATAATATTATTTAATTTTCTATTTATCTAATTCAATGCTCAACAACTGCAAATGATTATTGGTGTAAGAAAGAATTATATTTAGGAACATACAATTTGCCTTAAAATTGTTTACTAAGTCTTTCTAAATCGTTAAAAAGTTGTCTCTCATGAGTAAACAATTCAAATAAGTAGGATCAACATTACCCAAAGACGAGCATTCTGTTCTTCCTTCAGTACATACACGGACGTTAATAGCAAGATAAATATAGTGAAAGATCAAACCACGCGTCGGAAAATATGTGAATTACCAGAAATGTATGACATTTTGCTACTATGTACATATATTACAAACGACGTATTTACTTTGGAAAGTAATGCAGTCTCTAGGAATGTCCTCACCATTACGGCACATACAATCTTTTTGTGTTAACTTACTTTTAAAATTAAAAGTCAGTATCTCTTTAATCTCTCAACAAAACTTATTTAGATTTAATACTAGAATCGTGCATCAACTAGCACGACTAACTAATTTTCAACTAACATTGTTTTGGAATTTGGCCGATTAATAATTAAATCTATTTGGAAATTGTTGAAAATATGTAGTTTCAAATGTTGACATTTCTTTCTGCGCTATTTTGTAATACTAAATGTTGTTGTAATTGAAACGTCCACTTCTGGTAATTATTGCCGATAAATATTGGATTACTTTATTTATACCGTATTATCTCTTTGTAGTATCATATTAATCAATATTTGACATGTACACAACATTTTGATAATGCAGGTTTACTACAAATGATTCATCAAGTTTTACAAGCATATTTCAGCAATTAATAAATGACGTGGCACTAGAAAGAAAAAATATTTTGGATTTTGAATACATTACTACAAACGCTTGAGGTGAGCTCCTCACATTACACGACGCACGCCCAAGCGGTATTCCAATTCAACCCATACACTTGCAGTTTATCTCGATCGATGCTGTGTTGTGGATGCATTGGTGTTATCCAAATCATATCTTTGAGGTACACAAAAGAACATAGTAGAGTGTAAAATCAGAAAATTTAGAAAGCCCCGAATTCAATACCAAATCTTGTTGCACATTGTCCAACTATGAATGAGTGTTTCGTTTAGTGGTTTAACTCTATTTTGTTGATAAATTTGGATACTTCATAGAATTCAATTCTGTTCGTTTTCTCAAGTTTATCGGATTGTAAATATTGTACTATATCTGTAAGATGCGGTTAAAATCGCAAAATTTTCAAAAAAAAGTTGCTGACACCAACTTTGTCTAACCACCTCCATCATTTCATCAGTAATTTATGTTTTCCGGTGGCTTTATGTTTAGTAATGGAGCAACTGTATCATATTGCATTCGGAAATTAGGTTCCACAGTAATAATCAATAAACAGCGCGCGTTTCACACAACGTTTTCTGCTACACTTAACACAACATGACATTTTGAATACTGACGTTTTTGAATGACCACGCTTTTAAACTTTCGTCAGTTTCCCAACTTAATAATTACATGTTTCATTATTTAATATCACATTTATAATAATTTTGAAATATATATTTTTAAAATTCAATGAATCATTTACATATTTTAGCTCTATACTTTAATTGTCTTTGTGATATGAGTATTTATAAAAGAAATTTTATTTATATGAAGTAATAATCAAGGTTGGTCTACACAAGATGTTGTTTGTTAGACATGAAAATAACCGCACCATCAATTCGGATGGCGCCAAAATAAACGTAGGAATGTTGAATGTTGTGGAGCAGTGTGCATCTTCGTTTTTGGACGGACGTGATAAACGTAAAAGGGGGAGAAATCCGAATTCCCTCGCATCTGAACCACCGCATTCAGCAGCCATCACCATAGTTACTAGACTCCCTCCCCGCGCTACATCACATCTCCAGTCATGCTCTATACTACTACAACAGAACGCCACCATAGAGAGAGGGGAACCGAGTTCAGTTTGTGCGCTGACCGTCCGAGAAGTAGGACGTCGTCGGTCACCGTTTGTACAGTGTCAACACGCGACGTTTACATTTATAAATACTAAGTCTTATAATATATATTTTCTCTTAATGTGTTCGTTCACTTTCTTTTGCCACTACGTGGTAATGTGATTTTCCTGTAGATTGTTGTTAGTGCGACGTTATGTTGAAAATATGTCTATTCAGATAAGTGGTGTATACTTGCTTCCGACACAAATGTTGCCGGAGAGGAGCTGTACGAACCACGGTGGTGGCGGCGGCGGAACCGCCACCGTCGTAACCGCCAAAACTAAATCCGTAGCCATCGTGGCTCCCCAGAGAAGCAACAGCCTGGATTACCTTAACTTCGAGGAAAAGAGACAGCTCATCGCATCGTCGCTATCTCTTTCGGATTTCTTGGCCGTTGGCGGTAATGGCAAGGAAATTAAGGAAGGTGTAGCTACGGTAATTGTGGGTAAGTTCAATTTTCAAGATGAAACCAACCAGATTTCAACAAAATTTACTTGAACACAAAAGGAATTTAATGAAACCCAACCCTAGGTTACTATTTAAATAGCAAGATCAAAAACAATAATATACATTCAAACAGTTAATGCAAGATTATATATTTTGCAATATTTAAATTAACACAAATAAATTGTGTGGGAGTCTATACATCTATTTTTCATTATGATACAATATGTCTACCTGGGAACATTTCAAATACCTATTTATTTTTCTATCACTTTTTCTTTCTTATATACCAACCATTACCTAATACTTTCCATTTTAATGTAGCCGATTTCAGAACTCACTTGTTGCAACTGAATTTGTTGACACACCAAATATCGTCTTGTTAAACAAAATGATTCACTGCTAGCTTACGTATCAAGGTCGTCAAAAGTTAAACATAGCTTCCTAAATGCATTATCTCGAATCAACATTTTATTTGAATACTTAGATCAGGTGATTAAAGTTTGTGTTAAAATTTATTATCTATTATTATATTTATAAGCAGATTCTTAAAATGTTTCTGTAATAAATGTTTTTGTAGTAATGTCGATAACCTTGAAAACAGTTTATATATGTTTCGTTATTTTGCTTGAGGCGTATTCCGGAATATGAATAGACGTGAATGTTTTAGTATGTATACGAGAAATTTGAATGCGGAATGTCGTAAAAACTCAAAATAAAACATAGGAAATATCGCTCGCAACATAATAAATAATAATTGTTGTTATGTGAGTTAAAGATCATGCTACGTCAGTATCATGACTCATTTGTAATAACTATCATAATTATTAATAATTAACTAAGCACGTGTTATCGCAAGTTAAGAATTTGTTTTCCGATGAATTGATACCTAATATAAGTAATGTGAAAGTTTATTGTATAGATTAATAAGGTTAACTATCAATTGCTAAATGAAATACTTAATTAAAATAAAATTAAGGAGAAAGCCGAAGTGATCAGCTTTAATAAAGAGGTCATACATTTTCACATTAAATCATCCATATATCATGTATGTCGTCAAAGTTAAGCCTTCATAATCCTTGAGCCATTAGTGAGCGTACAGAACTTCGTCGTCAAAGTTAAATTAGTGACCCAATTATTTTTTGAAGTCAGTAATTAAGCAAAGCAAATTTGTGATGTTATTAAACCTGTGATATAATATAATCATGGATTAGGAACACTTTCCTATGCAAGTGTTTCAGGAGGAATGAGAAACACTTTAACGTGTGGCAGTATAGATACAATATTTTTAAATTATTTTTAATTTTCGAAAAGGTGATTAATTTTCATATTTTTTTATTGAATGTTAAAAATACATACGAGCTTTTGTCTACTATTCCAACAGTCACACAAAAATGTGCTCGCTAGTTATTCGCACAAATATCACGCGAAAAATATTCCTTTGGAAATATTTCGCATATTGGATCAGTTAGTTATTTCTGAAATTCTTAGCATATCTTAGACATATTTTAAAAGTTAATGTCTTGATAAAATTATTATTTCAAGCTGTTTAGGAAAGTTTCTGAGCAGTTTTTTTTTCAAAATTTTATTACAACTTAAAATCGCAAAATTTGTTGAGTTGACACCACACAATACTGTTTTGGTTCAAAATCTTCTTGTATGCCACATCCAATAATATAGAATATTCTTTTTAAATCATCTGCCAACACTTAATGAATTAATTTTAAGTATATTAAGTCAAATTTAAGGATCAAAATATTTTTCAAATGATTATTGAAGTTTTGTTTTACGAGTAAAAGAATGACAAATTCTGTCGAGGAAATGACATTTCATAACATTTAATGGTTTGTGTGCCATACAGAGACAAAGTCTATACTATTCAATTCCCTTATACAGCTTTTATAGCTTTAGCGTTGAGCGCAATCTAATAAAATAAATGTGAAACAAAATATGTGGTGGTGAAGGATTACTGCACATTACTTTAAAATTTTTACATTTTTGACACATTAGCAACTAATTTTGAAATAATAGTGAGATAATGAAATTGCCTTGCGGAAACCATAAAAAAGTTATCTCCAAAAATCGATTGTGATAACGTCTACTTAGAACATGTTATTTACTACACATTAACAAAATAACGTCCCAAACTTCGCTGACAGATATCATTAATATGGTGACATTAGAAATTACATGCTGTTATCAGTACTTTCTTTAATTAAAAATGTAATTGAACATTTAAAAATTAAAGATTTGCCAAAATGTACCTACATTTTTCTTCAAAATTTAGGAAATGTTTCATATGTTTCGATTGTGGTAAATACCTAGTATCTGATCTAGCATAAGCGATACGGCGAAATAGCTGAGATACACATTTTCCGGTAAATGTGCACTTTAACCGATTGCACACATTCGTGTAATCTCGTATTAACAAAAAGAAAATTTATTGTATTAAAATAGAGTTAATCTTTAAGTACTTGACACAGTGTTGCTCGTAATATACTTATAATATACTGTAAAGATAAGAGCTTGTATAATTCTGGTTTCATTTATTATATTATGTTTATTACAGACGTTATAAAAAATTAAACCTGAAGGTACATGGTGCTGCGTTCATAAATCTGTTAATAATAGCAATTAAACACTAAAAACGAGTAACATTTTGATAATAACTAATCGTATGTCAAGTAGAAAAAACTTCCGATTTTTTTATTTCCTACAATTCCACCAAATTTTATTTCTATATCGGGAAAAACTAGAGCAGATATTTCTGTCGTTGCTCGCGATACCTTTGTTGTCAATCGTAAACAAGATAAAGATATTTTTCTTTATCGCATATTCCTGCGAAACTACATTTTTTCCGATTCATTTTTACTGTAACATAGATATAAAAATAGGTAAAATTAAATAAAAAAAATTGTGTTGAAGGAGGACGAAGAATGTAATTTGTCAATGTAATTTATAATTTCCATCTTATCGCTATTTTTTATACCTTTTATATCGCACTTTATCATCGCAAACCTACTGCAGTGCCGGTTAATAATTAATAATTTTATGGAACGTCGGATTATACGCTTTAGTGGTAACATAAACCTATATATTTACAAGTGTTTATACCCCCCTTAAAAACCCCCAGACGCAGAGAACCACAATATACGGTAATGACCTGACTATCCCAATGCTCTGGGTTCCATGGTTACCACTCCAGCCTCATCATTCCTATTTTCCATTTCTCCATTTACTCTTCTTGCTCATTACCTTGCCATACTCATTATAATAAAAAAAGTAATAGATTGTTAAAAGTTTTCTTAAAGTTCTTAAATTACAATTACGTATCCCCACTTACGTCTAGTTCGTCATCAACTTTATTTAAGTCGGTTATGTAGTAAAATTAGTTTCTAAATAACTTACATCTTGTCTTTATGCTTGTATTAAAAAGTTCTTCTAAACCTTCTTTCATAAACTCAATTTCGAGATTTAATGAGGTTTTTACTATGCTTGATTATTGACGGCTTATAAGTTACAATTACAATAACATATAATTTTACAGAGTATAGTAAGTTATTTAAACACGTTTTATCTTTACATAAATATTTTCCTTTCATTCATATTTTGTTTAGACATTTTAATCTGCATGTTTTATTACATTGTGAATGGACTTTTCTTGTATTATCTAACGACACTAGCATGATTTAAAAATCATAAAAAAGACTAACAATTGAACTATTTTTTTCTTTTCCTTCTTATTCACATAAATTATCATATAATTCACGATGTGAATTGAATACTGCGGTAATTGTTTGCTGTGGCCGTCGACCACAAAGCAATTCTTTCTGTTTTTTGCTACTCTCAAGGGCTTAATCGAAGATATCGCTGAGGCCAAGCTGCTCGCACAAAACATGCAGGCATGTAGATAACTCGGATATATCGAGGACAATTACGTCAAATTTCTTCATCGTTTTATTTCTAAACGGCTTATGCATTTGTTGCTTTTAGGCCAAAAGTAACAAAATATCAGTTCATGAAAATACTTAGATCGTATGATACGTTTTCAGCCGTTTCAAAAAACATGGAAATGTGACGAAAAAGAGATCATCACCCAGCTATTTGTAACTGCCATGTCAATAGCTTTGATTGATAAAGAATAGGCATGGTTATTAAACATAAGAAATGTTGGTGAACTTTTTGTTGCACAAAGTCTTGGTGTTTGTAATACTTGTAGTCTGGTTAATCTTTAAACTGCAATAAAATGTGTGGATTTATACTGGCCAAAGTCTTTTACCAGCAGTATTTATGGTTTTGTAAGTAGTATAATGTTGGTGTTTGAGATGCTTGGGGCGGCCAACGTCTTTGAACTCGGCCCAGATTATTTCTTTCATCCGTTTCCAGCAAGGTAAGCTTGGTCTCACGTGGTTTTACAAAGTTCTGGTTGCGATACTCGAGAACTGGCCAAACTTTATGCTACAAGAAAATGTGTGAAATTATACTGGCTAATATCTTCTACCAACAATATTTAGTCTTTTGCAAACAGTATGGTCTTGGTGACTTCGAAGACGTCGGCCGTCCCTTCTTTCATTCATTTCATCTTACATGGTTTCACAAAGTATTGGTGTTTGTGATACTTGTGATCTAGTTAATCTGTAATAAAATGTGTGGAATAATACTGGACCAAGTCTTCTACCAGTAGTATTTAGTCTTTTGCAAACAATGTGGTCTTGGTGTTTATGATACTACAAAAAGTGGCTGATTCAATTCAACCTGCTGCATTAATCCCGAATCGTTTGCTCGATGCGTGAGTCAGCATGTAGCTATTATACCACTTGTCTATTGACCTTTTCATTTTCTTCCTAGCTTCGTGTATACTTGGCATCAATTTTCAAGGAAGGTTCAAGGCAAATTAAAAATATTCAATGCACAAATATTCTTTTGACATCTATCAATGGTAGTATGGCGTGGCATTAAACTGAACACAGATCATCCCATGATCCAAATCAATAATACTAG